GTTATGTGGTATTAGTTATGTTGGTATTAGTTATGTAGAGATTACAACAATACATAAATTATTAATTACTGAAGATATTATTTACAATTAATAAGCAAGCAAATAGTATAATTTCCCAAAAAAAAAATAAAGAAAGAAATCTTCTTTATACTTGAGTGAAATTTATGTTTTTTTCTCTCTAAAAACATAACTCTTTATGTGTTTTTGAAATTATTACTCAAAAATCTTTTTCTTAAAAGAGATGGTACTCAAACTTGCTCAAAACTTTTTTGAAAATCTTAGTTTCCTCTCATTTTAAATGTAAAAACATTTACTCTTGGGAATACTTAGTTCCAATATATCATTTTAAAGAAAATGAACTTAGTTCTACTCTTCCTCAACTCATATGCTCAAGTCTTAAAACAATTTAAAAAAAGTTTGCAAAAGACTTCTTAAAATAGGGTTCATGCCGAATTATGGATGTGAACGACTCAATTCAAGGACTCAATGTTACCTCTCATCTCAAGACTGTTCGACTCATAGAGTTCATGTGGAATTCTGTGCATAAATTGCTCAACTCAAGGACCTTCATAGGTAACATGTAGTAGCCCCATGATTAGGAACTCAGTACTCAAGACTTAGAACTTGAAGATGCTACTACTCTCAAAGATATTCAACTTATGAAGTTCATGCGGAATTTATGGACATGAACGACTCGACTCAAGGGTCTAAATAACAATATGGAATTCATGTATATGATTCTTATCATTCTCATACTTACTTCCTCAAAACTTAGCTCAAATCAATAGTTGATCTCGAAGGATTCACAATTGAACTCAAAGACTTTCTTGAACTCTACTCTTAGCTCTTTCTTGAATTTGAATTTTGAATTATGAATTCAAGAGTTATGATTCATGATATAAAGGATCTCGATGATAGTATAGACTCATGAATACATTTTCATCATTCTCATACTCACTTACTCGAGTCTTGAAACAAGTAATTAGAAATTATAGAAGACTCCTCAAAAGACTCTAAGGGACTTTCTCAAAAGACTCGAAAGAACTCTTAAGACTTAATTCTTAGTTCTACCTTGAATTTGAATTATGAATTCAAGGTTATTATTTTGTGTTAGGAAAGATATCGTAATGATTAAATGAGTTTTAGATAGTTAATCATGAGAAACGGTCAAGAAAAACACTATCTGGGAGCAAGTCCGCGACGCGGAGATGCATTTTAATATTTGATCGTGAAATAATGTATTTAAGATTGTAATATTGGGCTCGTTAACGGGCCCTTTCATATCTAGTACTATATAGAAATGTGATAAGGAGGACGACCAAGGGTAAATCAGTTATTTAACTTAATCATATATCTATACTACTTGCTACACGTGTCACTCAATGCCCCAAGATCACTTTATTACCACACAAACACACAACTTTATTCTAGATGCATCCTCTCCATTGGATTTTTCTTACTTCTATTATTTAATCAATAAATAGAGACTATTTTCTTCACACTAATGGTGGTAACAATTTCAGTTTAGTATTTTTCTCAGTTTTTTCTCTAAGCTTTCTTTTGATCCTCTTCATTTTTTTTTCAATTTAATGGCGGAATTCATAGATGTTTATTTACATACTTAACCTATTTCTTTGGAATGCTGATATTTATTTTTTCAGACTTTCGAATACTATGCTTTCCTTTCTTTTATCGTCTCAACTAGGTGATTCAACTTTAGGTATATTTTTATCTCAGTGTTGATATGATATTGAAAATTTAAATGTGGTATTAGTGTAAAGGAATTAAACAAATGTATAAATGTGCCTTAATCACGATTAGTTAAAGCTGTAATTATACACTGCTTATATGTTGTGCAGATAGCTGAGTTAGTTAGTGCTTCTAGAATCAAGTACAGTTAGTTACAAGTTTGTTAGAGCTGAGTCGATTAGATATATTGTATATAAGTGGTCCTATTGTATAGAATGAATCAATCAAGAAAGCAGTTCACATTCTTTTCTTATGAATATTTTTCCAGTGTTCTTAGCTACTGTGCAATTCGATCGATAATTCACTAAACTTTACATGGTATCAGAGCAAGGATCGATCATGGCTTCCATCTATTCAACAGTTTCTGCTTAATTTTCAGCTATTTGTTCTTTTTCTTCTATTTCCATAGATAATTCTGAAGCAGCTGCAGGAACTCAGTCGAGTTCATCCATGGTAATTCCCCCAATTGATCATCTACATCCTCTCTACTTACATCCATCAGATGCACCTGATTCATTTAATGTCGGGATCATGCTCACTGGAACTGATAATTATACTTTGTGGAGCAAGGCGACACAATTGGCTTTGCTTGGGAAGAACAAAGTAGGCTTCATCGACGGATCAGTAATGAGGGATCAGTTTTCAGGAAATTTAGCTCGACTTTGGGACAGGTGCAATGCGATTGTTGTTTCGTGGATTCTCTGCAATGTAAGTAAAGATTTGCATAGTCGAGTTCTTTTTTGTTCAGATTCGCAGTTGATCTGGGCAAATCTTAAAGAGAGATTTAACACGGTTAATAGTTCTAGGATTTTTCAGCTTCATAAAGAAATTTTTACTTTAGTTCAAGGTGTTTCATCTGTTTGTGTTTACTATTCGAGCCTTAAAGATCTTTGGAATGAGTATGACTTCATTATGCCTCCTCCTTTGTGTAATTGCCCCAAATCTAGAGAGTTTTATGATCATTTACAATATCAAAGGATGCTGCAGTTTCTCATGGGCCTGAATGATAATTATAGTCAGGCTAGAAGTCAAATTTTGCTAATGCCTCAACTTCTTAGTGTTAATCAAGCCTACGCCTTGGTCAATCAAGATGAGAGTCAGAAGTTAGTTGCTGGATCAAGTAGATTAGTACCTGAGAATATGGCTCCCACTGCCATGTTTACTATAACATCCGGCAATATGAAATAATTGAAGAGGCTTAGAATTGGAAATTTTCATTTTTGGAAACAATTTTAATGTTTTGGAAATTTTGGCTAAGTATGGAAAATGTGAATTTTTGGCCAACTTTG